TTTGACATGTATTTACTGTGTATATTACAACAAAAATATTATTGAAAACCCATAATCGATTTTCTTGTTCCTATCATCAGTGGGAAAAATACGGAACTAAGGATACAACCAAAGAAACTGAAGTTAGAATTCGGATAACCACCACAATCACGACACTGTTTCAGGAACGAAACATTCAGTGAAAGGCAATTACAAACATTGTGCTTTCGCAGGGTATTATTCAGAATGTCTATCTGTTGTCTCGTGTGTCTCCGCTTGAAATATACAACTAATCTACGTGGAGATAATATTTTAATATAGCTATGAATAGGATGAAGGCCGCAGACATCACGCAACTACGTTATTTGTTTGACATGTATTTACAGTGTATTTTATAACAAAAACATTATTGAAAACCCATAATCGATTTTCTTGTTCCAATCATCAATGGGAAAAAATAATTTTTTTTATTCATATTATTTTTACTAGGGGAGTCCCCACAGACCTATTGTCTCCTTACAGGGTGCCCTAGTCACGTGAAGATAGCGGAGCGAATTGCAGCAGGCAGGGATATGGTGCGAATCGCTGCAGGGAGGGAGTTCCCTCGGTCAGCTCCAAAATAAGATACAAAGTGATAGCCAAAATACAATCTGGCATGGGGCAGTACCAGGCGGAGCGATTCCTGAAAACCAGTAATTCTAGCAGTGCGGGATGATGAGACAGCAGGAGGAGTGAAAAGTAGGCAAAGTAGGGGACTAGCACGAGCATTTATGCATCTATGTAGAAACACATAGAGGTTGGCAGAATAGCGAATATTTAACGGTGTTAGGTGCTGTCTAGCTGGGTTGGATGGAGGCAGAGGGTGGGAAGCTAAAGACAGTGAGAATCACCCGATTCGCAGTGCTAATAAGAGCGTAATAGGTAGTCTGTCGCAAGAAGTGCACTTATGCATTGCTCGCGCGTACTCCAGGGTAGATTGGACAAATGCAAGATAGACAATTCGCTTGGCTCTAGCACTGAGAAGGTGACGGCAACGGTGAAAAGCATTGACCTTGCCAATAACTGTACTTCTAATGTTACTTACTTGCTGTTGAAACGACAGATGCTCATCTATGATGATGCCCAGGTACGTGGCTTGTTGCGATTGCTGTATACGGCTGTTGCAGAACTGGAGTGCACAGTCTGCATGTACATTGGGTTTCAGTAGGAGCAGGAATTGTGTCTTGGATGGGTTCAGCTGCATTCCACCGGCCTCCAGAAAGCTGCTCACACGGGTCAAAATCATGTTCAAGGTCTCTGCGGCAGTGGAATGGGACGGGTCGGCTGGGTAGATGTTGGTGTCATCTGCATACAGGTGGTAGAGGGATGACTGTTGGCAGGCTGGTAGGCACCTGGTGTACACCGTGAATTGTGCTGGTCCCAGGACCGAGCCCAGAGGGAAACCGCGATTGGCCCAGTACGGAGTTCCCGGTGTTTGACGAAGGCATTTCACTTGCTGTGGTCGGCTGCACAGATAGCTGGAGAACCATTGCAGAACAGTGCCTCCTACTCCACAGCGCTGCAGCTCCAGAAGGAGCTCACCATGCAGGACACAGTCAAAGGCTTTGCTGGGGTCGAGGAATGCTACAGCAACCACGTTGCCGGAGTCCAGTGACCGCTGCCAACTGTCAATGCATAGTGCCAGTGCGTCACCGCATGAATGACAGGAGCAATAGGCGAACTGCTCGTGATAGTGAAGGGCAGTTCAGCTTCCTATTCAGGCCAAGCGCTTGCTACAAACATGGGAGTATTGCGGGGGATACGATCTCTCCCATTGGGTATAATGTTCATCCTGAGGGAGCCATGCGCTATATTGCTCCTATTCTATCGCACGTAAACACAAAACACAGTCAGAAAAGCAAGTGGAAGATCACGAGAATATTCACACACATTTTAATTGGAACTTAAAGCACTTCAACAAATAGTCCACACCGTCAAGTAAGCCAATTTACTAACGTCCAGGATGGTCCACCCAATTCATCCCAAAAATCAATAAAAAAATTCAAGGATCTTCGGACTTGTAAAAAATATCACAGGTTTCATTGCTAGGAGAATATTTGGTTCAGACTTGCAGTTAGATATTGCTCAATACTCCAGGCGGATATCAATTGTAATGGGAGGATGGAGTTACGGGTAGAGACAACCAGGCGATGGATTCCTCACGGACGCATTCACTGCAAACATGACGGAAACAGCTCCGGCTTGTTGTTGTTGTTGTGACACATCTATTACCTCCTCGAGACATATCCAGACTTAGGGGAACGCTCGTCGTCATCTTCCGTCAAAAGGACGCAGAAGGGTGGGGGTATATTCTTCGGGAAAGGCCATTGTTGCTAGTGTTGGAGCATATATAATCACAAAACGGGCAGATAACGAAGATCTCCTCACGAAAATTCCCAAACGAGGCAAGAAGCTGCACGCCAGTCTCCAGACCCAACTTTAAGGAAAAGCGCTGTGTGTGCGCAGAGCAAGCCTGACACACATTCATCTGCAGAAAGTATTGCCATTGTGGAGCAGCACGATGGTTAATGTCGCAGCCATGCAGTGAAACATCCTCGACACAAATCCTGTTCAGTGAAACATCTATTACCTCCTCGAGACAAATCCAGTCTGAGGGGAACGCTCGTTGTCATCTTCCGTCAAAAGGACGCGGAAGGGTCCCAGTACAGTCGTCCAGCAAGGCTGTGGTTGGTAATGTTGGAGCATCAACTGGGAAGAAAACCAGTGTGTGTTGAGGACTGGCCAGGGATAGCCTGGAACAAATAGGGTCTATAACAATGACCTCCGTCAAATCTGAATTTGAGATGACTGCCAAGCCTGAAACGTTTATATCTCCAAAGCCTGAACCATTGATTGTAGCAGGTAGAGATGTGAACTGTTCGCCATCATTTTGCCTAGAAGGCTAGTCGAAGTGAACAATAGAATCGCGTTGCATAGAGCGTCGTTTCCAGCCAGTGGGTCACCTGCCTCCCAGATGAGAAAGAGGTTCTAATCCATTTGCTTGGCAGGCTTTCAGAATGCACTAGTCGGTCTTCTGAAGGAGGTACACGCCAAGAACAAGACTTTGCAACGAGATGAGTCAAAACTCTTGTCAGGTAGGGTGACCGTGGTGCCTAAGTGTGTAGTCTTAACTAAGCCAGACAGTCAACTGACCCAGAACAACGTGGTAATCAGAGGCCAGATAAGAAGCCAAAGAGACTCGTAATTCTCAATTATCCATTATCGGTTGCAAATATGGCATCTGGAATGTTCATTTCTTTTCCTGACTTCTTCAGTCAGTTATGAATCTCAACAGTGTCCCTGCCCTCCCACCTTTCATTTCTGTGCATCTTATTATTGACTCGAATGGAGAGGCAAGAAATAATTTATGAAAAATAAAAAGTAGCAAGGAACTACAAGTTACGCTATGATGTCCACTACCACCACCAGTTACTAAACAATCAGCTCATGCGATAACATTGCACGACACTGACCGACGGTACTGACGTTCTACAACTAACTGGCTAACAGCACTAGGATAACTTGGATGCGCACTCCAACAGCCTTCCAACTAACTGTTACTTGGAAGGCTCTAAGTTATGGAATGACATCAGGAGTGTTCGAGTGCGCATCCAAGATGTCACGCACAGCGCGTGAACCTTTCGTAGTGGATTGACGCGGTGGAGCCAAGAAAGGGAGTTGTAAAAATCAGGATTTTAGTAATCCAGGGGACGAAAAATATTTTCGTAGATCTGCTCTGTTTCGGTTGCGTTTGGACAGATCTTTGTAGCCACTTTAGTTACTCGAACCCAGACGGTTCACATCTTACGAATCTTCGTTGTGCGCAACCTCTCTAGTGAATGAACTTTACTTACATGAGGCCCAGGACGGTCATTATCGCTTCTGCGCGTGGTCTCTCTCATACTTCCATTTCGAACTACCTGTTGCTGACAGATCGACTACGGAAGCTCTTGTTGCAAGGTATCACTAAGACTGAGTTAGTTGTAGCATTAACTACACTATGATGATCGCTGGGAGAAGAAACAGTGGAACTACGGAGAATTCGAAAGCTTTTAAGCTAAATGGTTCGGATTCATACCGTCGCTGGTGAAGAGCGTCTGTATTGTCACTGTATGCACGGGCGGTAGATCCACTCTACACACGCATGCAGTAGATGTGCAGCAAAACTAGTCTCGTACGCGAGTACACGCTAGGACAGTACGGAAGTAATAGTACAGCAATAACTCAACACGAAATCAGACTGTCCTCTTTTTTTGCCTCCTCCGCTTGTGAAAATGATCTGCTAAAAGCCTAGTTTCCACGCTCGACTATTTTTTTACCACGTTTGACTTGTGGACCCGAGTTCGTGCAAGTGGAGCATGATAGAGCGACTCTTAGAATCATCACGTGCATTGCATGACGCGTTTATAGCGAAAGGTTAAGATCACCATATCCCCCTACGCCCTAGGCTAGGATCCCCATCACCACACACACTTCGCATTACATGCAGGATGCAGCCATGATGGGTCTGTTTTCTAAGAGGGTGAAGTGCAGCGCGAGCTGACATAGACTGCATAACCCACTCAGTTTGAAGCAGATCTAAGCGACACAGCCATCAGATATGATGTGACCGTACTGTGCACGTACGTGGGAGGTCAGCAGTCAGCACAGTCCACGTTTACATGTCATGTACATGTAATACTATTACGAAATGGGGCTGTTAATTGAAAATAGTGTGACGTCAATGGGCCCTTTGGATACGCGTGGCAAGGCAAAGCACAATGGACAAACAATAATGGCGAGGCCCAGCGGGATACGGTGATCTTGCTCCTTTCTATGGCTTGCAAGTACATGTACGGTCAGATTTTAACCGTCGCGGATCGTGAAGCCCTTTCATGTGCTTCACCCACGCCTAAAACCTGGTATAAAGGTGAGCGCGGGAACTAGCCTTCTCGCAGTTACGTTACACAAGTCAGTAGTGAAGAAGAAATCGGTTCCGTTTGGTGTTGATTCACTACTAGCTGTTTACAGTTCTGACCTATAGTTTCATGAGACTAGTTTTGTTGTAGATCTACAGCGTATAATTATAGAGCTGATCTACGTGCACTTTGCTATTTGAGAAATTTGTTTAGCAGACCCTCTGTCAGCACCAGATATTTCGAAATGGACGTATCGGAGAGAACACCGCGCAAAAGTGAGAGTGACCGTCCCCGCCTTCAGGTGAGTAAATTTCATTTCTTCAACCAATTTTCTCAGCGACTGCTTTTATTTAGTATTCAAACTTCATTCGACTCTCACGAGTTAGAGGCTCTGCTTTTTTCTTCTTCAAATCGTGGACTCTGCTGCCGTGTATTTTTTTCCAAAATGGTTAATGAGAAGATGTAACCAATAAGTTATTTTGCAGTTGAGTTTCAAATATCCTGTCACCTCGAGACCGAATGCATTTGAGTAAATGAATTGAGTCAGATGGAGAGCCAAGGGTGTGTCTTTACCACCATATTTATCAACCATTTGTACAGCTGCAGTGGCGTCTTCAACTTCATTCTCTCTGGAGAGCCAAGGTTTAATTTATACAAAAGAGAAGGACTGGTGGTGTTAGTGGAGAGTATAGCGTTACTTGTAGTTCCTCTGTCTTTCTCTTTTGTATAAAATAAATGAATAATCCAGGTTACCAACACTGCGTAGCCAATGCCCGTCATGTGCTTACACTTGAAATGAACTGTATACCATACATATCTGAGTATTACTCCTTTACTAGTGTTAGAGTTAGATAGTCAATGTGCTCATCTACATGTACATGATATTGTATAAAGACTGACTTATAAGAGCGAGTCGTTATGCTATAATAACGGCAACGTTCACGATGCCACCTTTCCAAATTTACACTAGAATTAGGCCTGTTAATTGATATACCGTGCACATGAACTATCAATGTACTGTTGGACAACTGACTGGCCGGATGACTGAACAGCGACATAGGCGACTTGCAACTGTAGATTCGTATCTCCGACGTTAGCAACTGGTATATTAGCACTGAGGGTGAGCATACACAAGCGCATATAGTTGATTCTGATGATGTCTTTGCGTTTTGTTTGTTTTTCATGGTTCAATCATAGGAGCGCGGCGTTGCAGGGCTGAGAAATTTATTGTCGAAGAACGCTAATCGCCCCAAGGTAAGCGGCCCCTTCTGAGTTCTGACTCAGCATCCTCGAGAAAAAAAACACGTGTACTAACCCTCAATTATGCATTTCCTTTTCAAACAACGACTGGGGGAGTTTTATAACCTTGCTGAAGAGAAGTCCAAATCTAGAAATGACTATAGCGCAATTGCCAGCACGTATTCTCCTCTCCACGCCGATATTTGGTTTGATTATGTGGCCAATGATGCAGTATCTACAATATGCGTATTCAGTACTAGTATGTATAGACCATAGACACGCGCACACACACACACACACACACACACACACACACACACACCCAGACACACACACACACACACACACAAGCACAAACACCCAGACACACACACATACACATACTCACACACACACACATTATTATACACACACAAACACACACACACACACCACACACACACACACACACACACACACACACACACACACACACACACACACACAAACACAAACTTTTGTTTCCTTTGGTTTATATCATTCCATTCCGCTGCCTCAGCGGTACACTCATTGCATTCCCAACTCATCACAACCATGCGCTCTTCAGCCGAACCATTCAGACACCAGCAAGGACACTTCCGTTGAGAGATGATATTATTGTTCCACGCCTCTAGACGGCCGTTTCGCTCCCTGTCGGAGCTCATCAGTAGAGGATGATAATGATGATAATGGAGGAATGATCATTCTTATACACCAGAAATGGCGCAAGTGCGCGCTTTCCACATTATAACAATGGCATATGCAAGCTGCTAAAATGGGAAAGTGTGAGAACAGCGATAAATATTCATAGTACGCGCTCATTGGTGGAGAAACACACCACACAGGCGACGAAAATCTTACGCGGAATACTGATGCCAATGGAAAGTACATGTATGTTGTTTATTATTATGATGTTGCAATGGCCATGTATGCAGGCGAGGCGAGACTCACCGCCGAGATCCCCCAACGCGACAGGCTCGGTTGCCGATCGGTATTATCTCTCAACGGAAGTGTCCTTGCTGGTGTCTGAATGGTTCGGCTGAAGAGCGCGTGGTTGTGATGAGTTGGGAATGCAATGAATTGAAAATATGGCCGATAGCTCTGTCGCAATATTTAATTCAGCAGTACAACGTACACTAAAGTCTTGTACAGTGTACTTTCGCATCAATACACATTATAGCAATAAAAACTGCTTTATGGCAGCTTTCTAAAAAAGTTATTGTGTTCTAGTCCTGGGTCGACCGGTCCGGCATAGGCTATAGAAAATTTGTAAAATTAATTGCTTATCAACTGGCTTGGACTCCGTCTAAAAAGTAAGAAATTAACGAAATGTGATTGCAGAAAATTAAAATTTCACACAAAACCTCACAATAATCACAACACTTGACAATCAAAATACTGTACTGCTTCCAACAGTTGTTTAGTCTGACACTGCACTTGTACTGCACCAACATGCATGCATGGGAAAGAGGATCACGAAGGGAAAAGGTCTTCTAGCTTTTCATCCTGTGTGTGATTATTGTGAGGTTTTGTGTGAAATTTTAATTTTCTGCAATCACATTTCGTTAATTTCTTACTTTTTAGACGGAGTCCAAGCCAGTTGATAAGCAATTAATTTTACAAATTTTCTATAGCCTATGCCGGACCGGTCGACCCAGGACTAGAACACAATAACTTTTTTAGAAAGCTGCCATAAAGCAGTTTTTATTGCTATAATTTCTTTTGTTTTTTCTGTCACCAATCAATGGAATGCCCAATATGTGTAAATGATGGCCTTCACATCATATCAATACCGTATTTATTGCTGCAGCCTTTTCTTGCAGAAAATGGCACTAGCACAACGCATGTTCTTCTGCTGGGGAAACATGTGGTTAGTGGTGGTGAGTCTTTTTTTATACGCAGGTCATTCTGTGCATGTTGCTGTTGCAGAATTTCATGACTGTCATAAAATTGTCTTGCCTTTCAGATATTTCAGATTTCCCCACCCTCGATCAGATATACTTGAGAAATGTAGGTGCGTGTCACAGATGTTATGGTTGATTCTGTGTTTATTGGTTATCGTGATAAGGTCATCCTGCATCATATTGCACTGAAATCGTAATCCTGTTGATGTCGATACAACTCTTGGAAGTAGTTCAATGACTTCAAACTGTTAGTCCGCGATTTTCTAACACAACACAGCAAAGGAGGAGGAGGAACAATAAACATGTATTAAAATGTAAACAAATACATTGTTGAGTCCGGCACCTCATTCCAACAACTACACTGATCCTGAGGATAAAAGGGGCAAGCCTGAGGCCTTCTTACAGGGTACCCTGGAGGTACTGAGAGATAAACAAGGCACTCCATAATAATAAAATGTTACACATTTTTTGCCGTGAGTATGAATGATATCCAGTCGAACCTCTTTAGGACGAACACCAAGGGACCGATGGTATTTTTTCTGTAAGTTTGTCTTAACCTATTTTATAACCAGTGAATACATTTCTCCAATAGACATACATGTACGAATAGATTTTCCTACAGCGAAGGATTCTAAGCCACACCGACTCGTCTCGTATGAAACAAATGAGTCACTGAACCTTTCTTTAGCAACATGACGGCAACTGAAACAGCAACAGAGAAAGTACGATACATGTACAGCACATTCTTGCAGGTACACTACAAACAGATTGCAGATCGTATTTTTTTACTTTGGCGGCACGCAACTTTATTTGGGGCAGTGCAATCTCGGCGGTACTCACAAATCGAACAGCCCAGACTCGAGTAAACAAATCCAACCATACAAGTACGAGATTTTCACGAGGCGAGACTGCACCCATTGGCTTGTTTCGTATGAAGCAAACAAGTCACTGAACCTCTCCATAATGGAGATTTTCCCTGATATGCGAATTTATTAATTTTTGCATACTCGGTCAATGGGTCCTTGAACCTTTCCCTCCAAATTGGGAACTGCCAACGATAGTATGCCACTGACAAGTGCCTTACTTCAAGTAACGTACCAATGTACAATGAACATGAGTATTTCGACAACACATCTATTAAAGCCTCAGCAGCAACATAAGCCTTACCGTCAAGAAGGTGAACTCGCGTTCTTCGCACACTGTAGGCAAGGGCAAAGAGATAAAAATGGATCTAAATCCGAATAAAATCAGCACACGTTTCCGTAAATGAAAGGGTGAGCATAAGCAAATGAATCGAAGGAAACTGGTCAACTCAGAGATCACCTGTCATTGAGTATTCGGTAAAAGGAGGCCTCTGCAGCGGAAAAGCTAAATTGAGAAAGGAGATCCTGTCAGCTTTTACATTATTTATTGCATTCCGCCCAAAATCAGCACACTTTTCGTAAATGAAAGAGTCAACACAAGCAAATGTATCAAAGGGAACTGTTCAACTCACCTGTCCTTGAGTAATATTCCGCGAAAGGAGGTCTCAGCAACGCCGAAACGAAATAAGCCAGGCCAGGAGACGAAATATCCGAAACAGCTCATGCAAGAAGCAGTTCCAAAGAAGGAAGTACCTCGTGAATGCACATCCGAAAAGGCAACAACAAAAAGTCTGCAATGCACACGCATGCGGCCAGCCGGCCGCGCGATGGTAGCGGTAGGAGCCATGGAGTAGCTCCCTGGTCCAGGACCAGGTACCGAGCATCTTACGTAGAAACTTACGTAGCTACGTAGACAACGTGTCTGAATAGCGGTGTCGTTAGGTAGCGCCATGTGAACACAATAATAGAAAAGCTGACAGGATCGCTTTTCTAAATGCAAACATGCGTTATATGCAAATGCATGTGCATGACTGAATAATAGATCCATGATTACTTCTGCACAGTTCTGCATAGTTTTCACTGATATCATGATATGAGGGCAACTGAATCACTCTCAAGATGACGTCATCGCAACGAATGTAGTAAAGTTATTCAATGAATTTTGAACTGAGTCACTGAATTACCTGTCTTCTACCTTTGATTTCTATTGAATTTTGTAGAAACAAGCGTCAGATGATAATGAAACAGAAGATATCCTCCAGAAAATGGCAAAGAAGAACGCAGAGATTCAACGGAAATTCGATATCGCTCAACGAGATCGTGAAGAAGCTGCTGCGGTGGGTGCCTCATTCCGTTCTTCCCAATGTAGCACGCAGGCCTCCAGACTCAACGGTTCTTACGGCGCTATGTGTGCGCAAAGTCAGAACAAGCCCGAAACACATTCATCTGAGCAAAATTCTGCCAGTGTGAAGCACGCCAGAATAATGTCCCCGCCATCCAGTCAAATATCAGGTATGTCCTGTAGACGAATCCAGTCTGCCGGGAGCGCTTGTGGTCCTCTTCCGCCAAAAGGACGAGCCAGGATCCGACCACAGTCTTCCCACATGGCTGTCGTTGGTAATGTCGGAGCATCAACTGGGTCACAGGCATCAAGTCAAACTTCTACCATATCCTCGAGACAACTCCAGTCTGCGGGGAATGCTCCTTGTCGTCTCCCGTCAAAAGGACGCGGAAGAGTCCGAGCACAGCCTCCAAGCATGGCTGGTGCTGGAAATGTTAGAGCATCAACAGGGCCGCATGCTACCGCACATGGACGAATGACGTTGACTCCCACTGAACAACCTGGACACAAGCAGACGGAGAGGGATAGTGATAGTGATTCGTTGCAGACTGCGTCGTTTCCAAAGATAGAGTCGCCGTCCCTCCAGGCCAGAAAGAAGCCTGAATCCAATCGCTTTGCAGGGCTTCGGGGTGCGCTACTTGGCCTGGTAACTGAGATACACGCGAAGAACGAAACCTTGAAAGAGGATCAGTCCACACTGTTTTCTGGACATGTGCAAGTGGTGAGTAAGCCGAACAGGACTCCCACCGAACAACCGGGGCACAATCAAAGCGGAAGTACAGATGTGTCCGGCCAGCCGCAATCAGTATAATACACTAAGCAGTGATGTTATAATTTCTCGCCGGCCGAGCGGAGAGAGTGAGGCGAGAAATGATTTCTCCCGCAACAAAATTATTTTTCTAACGAATATGGAATCTGATGTGTTCTCTTTTTGTTGCTGTTCTTTTTGCCTGACTCTTTCAGTCAGTGTTTTGTGTCTCACCAGTGTCTCCACCCTCCCACCCTTCATGTCTGCCCATCTTCTTCCATTTCTTTCTTGGCTGTAGATATGTTGTTCCTGTTTTTATGCTGCCATGTTGCAACTTGGGGATATCCACCCGGTTTTTTCCCTCATTCGTACGTCCGTCGGCGCGAGGGTTTTTTCCCGGCTGGCTCGGTCCAGAGAAATTAATCTGACGGTCCCAAGCGGTGCTTGTCCTGGCTTATTTATGTTAGGTGAATGTACTCATTCTTTCTTCCTGAGGTCTCTCCATCTGTTGCTGCTCTTAGTTTTCTTCTGCATTCCGGTTCACATCTGGCTGCGGCCCACTACCATCACTCTGTGTGCTCCTGCCTCTGTTGTCTGGGTCCATGTCGTTATGTCGGTGTATGTGGAGCGAGAAGAGATGAAAACTAAAAAAACTAGCACTTAAGGTACTGAGGTATAAGAGGTGTTGGAGTTAGATGTCAGGTTGCCGAATGTCTCAGTACTCCTTGCCAGTTTTGTGCCATTTTGTCGCACTCGCTGACTGTACAAGATCTGGTTACGTTGGTGGACAGTTTGTCATAACTCGTAACATTTTGTCCTTTTCCTTTCTTCATCATACAGAAAATTATTAGTATAAAAGATTTCGAACAAGACATTCTTGACATCCTGGGACTGACGGAGCCCAGGATGAACGGAGGCAGCGCAGATACGTAGATCTACGACAACGGACTTGTTCTGTATAGTTCGGGTGGTTCGTCGTCCAGAGCTGGACTGGAGTTGATCTTCTCACCAACAAAAAAAACTAGTAAATAACGTGGATCAGTCGGGGAAGTGAACTGCCTGAAAACAGAACCAATCGCCAGACCCACCAGGACTCAAACCTGGGAAGTGTCTTGTCAAGAGTAATGCTCTAATCACCGAGCTATGGGACCGGGCTGAACCTAGAAGGCGCTGAATTAACGGTGTTAGGTGCTGTCTAGCCAAGAGGGGTTGGATGGAGGCAGAGGGTGGGAAGCCAAAGACAGTGCAGATCGCCCGATTCGTAATGCTAACGAGAGAGCTTGGAAGCTAAGGGCCCTACGCTATGATTTTTTGCCTTGATGACCTAGACAAAAAAAAGCATAGGGATGTTATAAATTATTAAAAAATGGAATTTTTTAAAGACATAACCTGGGATTCGAACCCGCACTATCGCGCGCCCTGCATGCATCCCCCGATACACTTCGCATACATACTAATTCTTCCAAGTTGCTTCACGTTACGATCTTGCATTTGAAAGCCCTATTTGAATATGCATTGTGGCCAGCCGTCTTTGATGGTACGGTACGGTACGGGATAGGTACGGGACAGGTACGATCGAGGGTAATACCATCCTGTCTACCGCCTTGATGACGGCAAAAAAAGCATAGTGATGTTATACATTTTTCAATTCTCCTGGTTTTTTTTCAGGCATATGGCTGGGATTCGAAACCGCACTATCGCCCTACACTATTCCCCCATACACTTCGCATTCATACCCATTCTTCCAAGTTGCATCACGTTGTGATCTTGCGTTTGAAAGCCCTATTTGAATATTGCGGCCAGCTGTATGTGGCCAGCTGTGTTTGATGGTACGGTATGGTACGAGACAGATACGGGATAGCGCCAGGCGTGGCACAAACACACAAACAAACACCCAAATACCCAATTAAAGCTGTGTGGACCCTGGCTAGCGCCAGACGTTACTGAAGTAACGACTTCTGCATAGCTACGGGAATAAGAGCGTTATAGGTGGTCTGTCGCAGGCAGTGCACGTACGCATTGCTCGCGCGTACTCCAGGGTAGATTGGACAAATGCAAGATAGAAAGTTCGCTTGGCTCTAGCACTGAGAAGGTGGCGGCAACGGCGAAAAGCATTGACCTTGGCACTAACTTTACTTCCAATGTTACTTACTTGCTGTTGAAACGACAGATACTCATCTATCATGATGCCCAGGTACGTGGCTTGCTGCGATTGCTGTATACGGCTGTTGCAGAACTGGAGGGTACAGTCTGCATGTACATTGGGTTTCAGTAGGAGCAGGAATTGTGTCTTGGATGTGTTCAGCTGCATTCCACGGGCCTCCAGAAAGCTGCTCACCCGGGTCAAATCATGTTCCAAGGTCTCTTTGGCAGTGGAAAGGGACGAATCAGCAGCGTAGATGTTGGTGTCATCTGCATACAGGAGTCAGAGGAATGACTGTAGGCAGGCTGGTAGGCGCCTGGTGTACACCGTGAACAGTGCTGGTCCCAGGACCGAGCCCTGAGGGACATCGCAATTGGCCGTGTACGGGGTTCCAGGTGGTTGACGGAGGCATTTCACTTGCTGTGATCGGCTGTACAGATAGCTAGAGAACCATTGCAGAACAGTGCCTCCTACTCCTCAGCGCTGCAGCTCCAGAAGGAACTTACCATGCAGGACACAGGCAAAGGCTTAGCTGAGGTCGAGGAATGATACAGCCACCACGTTGCTGGGGTCCAGTGATCGCTGCCAACTGTCAATGCATAGTGCCAGTGCGTCACGGCATGAATGACAGGAGCGATATGCGAACACTTCGTGATAGTGAAGCTCAGTTCAGCTTCCCATTCAGGCAAAGCGCTTGATATAAACATGGGAGCATAGTAGGGGATACGCTCTCTCCCATTATGTATAATATGCATGCTGAGGGATCCATGCACCATATTGCTCCTATGTTATCGCACGTAAACACAAAACACAGTCAGCCCAGCTAGCAGATGATCACGAGAATATTCACACCGATGTTAATTGGGACTAAGAGCACTTCAACAAATATGCCACACAGTCAAGTAAGCCAATTTGGTAACCGAACGTTTTTGTTCCCTTCTCATCATGGCCAGGGCGTCACACACCGTACGACTACTGCGACCATGGTCACATACCACTTTGTTGCTAGTGTTGGAGTGTTGCTAGTGTTGGAGCATTTATTATCACAAAACGGGCAGATAATGAAGATCTCCTCACGAATATTGCCAAAAGAGGCAAGAGTTTTGGCGGTAATACAAGATTGGTCAGTGTGATCGTGAAGAAGCTGCTGCCCTGGATGCCTCATTCGCATCATGTTCAGGTAGCACGCCAGTCTCCAGACCCAACGGTCCCGACAGCGCTGTGTGTGCACAGTACAAGCCTGACACACGCTCATCTGCAGAAAGTAATGCCAGTGTGGAGCAGCGAGATGGTTAATGTCGCAGCCATCTTGTGAAACATCCTCGACACAAATCCAGTCCATTGAAACCTCCATTACCTCCTCGAGGCAAATCCAGTCTGAGGGGAACGCTCGTTGTCATCTTCTGTCAAAAGGACGCGGAAGGGTCCCAGTACAGTCGTCCAGCAAGGCTGTTGTTGGTAATGTTGGAGCATCAACTGGGAACAAAACCAATGTGTGTGGAGGACTGGCCAGGGATAGCTCGGAACAAATAGGGTCTATAACAATGACCTCCGTCAATCTGAAATTGAGATGGCTAGCAAGCCTGAAACTTTTATATCTCCCTAGCCTGAACCAGTGATTGTAGCAGGCAGAAATGTGAACTGTTCGCCATCATTTTTGCTAAGTAGGCTAGACGAAGTGAACCATAGAAGCGCGTTGCAGAGAATGTCCTTTCCAGCCAGTGGGTCACCTGCCTCCCAGACGAGAAAGAGGTCCTAATCCATTTGTTTTGCTTTGCAGGCTTTCAGAGTGCACTAGTCAGTCTTCTGTGAAGGAGGCACACGCCAAAAACAAGACTTTGCAACGAGATGAGTCAATATTCTTGTCAGGTAAGGTACCGTGGTGCCTAACTGTGTAGCCTAAGCTAAGCCAGACAGTCAACTGACCCGGATCAACGTGGTAATAAGAGGCCAGATAAGAAGCCAAAGAGACTCGTAATTCTCAATTATTCATTATCATTACAAGGAGTGTAAGGGAGATCAAGGCTGCCCGGCAATTTAAGCTTGCCTCCATCCCCTACACCTTGCAATGAATGCTCTGTCTGACTTTTCCCGTCCACACACCACGTCATTTACTCTTCTCTGCGTGCTTGTGCGCTTATGAACTCTTTGTGTTCCCTCTGTTGACGCTTCAAAATCGCTCTATTGACACTGCAAAATCGCTCTGTTGACGCTACAAAATTGCTCTGCGTGCTTGTGCGCTTATGAACTCTTTGTGTTCCCTCTGTTGACGCTTCAAAATCGCTCTATTGACACTGCAAAATCGCTCTGTTGACGCTACAAAATTGCTTATCATCTCCCTCCCTCCCTCCCTCCCCCCCCCTCTCTCTCTCTCTCTCTCTCTCTCTCTCTCTCTCTCTCTCTCTCTCTCTCCCCGTAGCTCTCTCCCTTTTGAAATTCGCTTCCATAGAATTGGGCACCATTGCCCGTTTGGCCTTGCGAAGCAAAATAAAAATCAACAACAAACAACATTACCACGTTTGACTTGTGGACCCCGAGTTCGTGCAAGCCGCGCATGATACAGTACTCATGGTTAGCATTTTACCGTTCACGCTATTTTCGACGGTCGGTGTGTAGAGGGCGAGTCTACTGTTTTTGATGTGTTTCCGAGACACGTTTAGCAGTTTGGCTTCTGAGTCCTGAATCCTGACGCAAAGATAGACGTGTGAGGTAACCCTAGTTGGAATCTTACCGTTTCGTTCTCCCGCTAAAAAGAGCTTTCTATCGCCGAAACGATACCAAACCGATGGTATTTTGGGTTTGGTGTACGAATGCCGTTGGATCTAGGGCGTGAACTGTAAAATGCCACATCTACACACAAAAAACGGTGCAGGCCGACCGTCGGAAAAAGCGTGAACGGTAAAATGCTAAGGGCCTGTCCAGACTAGGTAGAAAACCACGTAAACACGCCATAAACATGCTAGTTGCCAAGGCGAGTGACGAAAAATGGCCGAT